TGAAATTTTCATTTTGTTACTAACATCTAACAGCATACTATCTAATATCAGTACTTAACATTAATGATTAAGTGAAGTTACTTTTTAGTTTCATTACTACAATCTTTACGGTACCATGAAACATTACCATAAGTGTATACCATTTAGACTGATCTAATAGAATAGCTTCATAAGGAGAGACAGAGAGAGAGAGATGGGGGAAGAAGAGATCGGGAAACTAAACAATGTGAATGTTGTGTACAATAATGTTAAATTTATTTATTTCACCATTACTGCTTAAATGTTGAAACATAGATTAATAATAATAATATCAACAAAATAACAGTCTTAATTCAATTTGAAATGGCTTTCGTTATTCAGTTGTTGATATATTTGACAGAAACTTGATCAGCCTTGATTGACAATCGGTTATTATGTCTGGAAAGAGTCGATATAATCATCATAATACAAGCGGATCCAGAATCGACAAAATTCAATCTCATACCCCTTGCACAATTCAATTCAACTAAGTGAATAAACTGATACGGTTTGAAGCAAACGGTAATGGGATTGAGTCATGGGGTGGAAATCAGGATTCAGATGAAGTTACATCTGGCTGACGAATCCTAAATGGGACGAAATGCGTGTTTCGAGATCCTATGCTACCCACATTCCATCTAGTCTGTTATCGTAGTTATGCTCATTACCACAAATTCTATTAAACAAAGTAATTATTAGCCCAAATTTTAAAATATTTCAACATGCTTAATGCGTCCTCAAATAGTAAGAAACTCAGAAGTCAATAGCAAAGCTCAGAGAAACTGACTTATCACAGCTAATCAGATTTCAATTCATATTTATTAAAATTAATAATATATAGTAAATCAGAGCCATTTTCATAGAGAAGTCCATCACGTTGATTTTGTGAACACGAACAGTAAGGATAATATTTGAGTGAACTGACTCCATCTAATACATTCCACAACTTTTTCCAAATAATTGTCAGCCAAATTTTACATCATCTGTGTGAGACGTGAAAACATACAACAGAAATGTTAAAAGAGATCGGTTCAATGGTAGTTTGTAAATTAACTCATCGGCTGTTGTGTGATCACAATGTTGCATACTACTTTTGAAAGTTTTTAGTAGGTAGAGAAATTATTAAAAAATTGTGAATGTTCATCAACGTACTAAACGATTTACTTCATAAGCTTATCAATTTGATGAAGGTTGGTCTCGTTAGTACAATTGTATAAACTGTAGTCTGAACAATTCCTAATGTCCAATGAGGTGTTAATCAGGACTAATATGGACTGATTAATGTTTCACTTGAAAACTGATCAAATAATCAATGGATAGCTTTTCTACCAAAACTGATTAGTGATATTCTTAACTTGTATAATGAACAGTTCACCCACATGTGGATTAGTTTCCATCTTGAAAGTTGAAGTACGATGATAAAATGGATTATGGAGTTTCTTTCAACTTCATCACAAATGAGCACTTTATGAGAATATTTTACAGCAGGTGTTTATTCACCGATATATTTCATTTGGCAACATTCCCTAGAGAAAAGAAATAATTTGTTGCCTCTATAAAACAATCAAGTGCGTATATGTTTATGTGTGCGTGTGTCTGTGAAAGAGAGACGCAAGAATCACAATCACTCAACTTGGTATACTCGAAAAAACGCATATAGACTTCATAGGATGCTGTAGAGATTATTTTTTTGCTTGTTTCGTTAGAATGAAAAGTTGAGTTCAGTGTACACATGGTTAATCCAAAATTAATCAGATTATAATGCTCAAGATAAACTGGTGATTGATAATAGTCACTCGTATCCGAGCTCTTGTATTTAATTTCAGGCGTAAAGTGAGACCAATGCAACTCAGTGTAAATATCATTCACATGAATTGAACTTGAATTCAGAAGTTAATTGTGGAATAGTTGATGACGAAAGTGTGAAAAAATCACAAATAATGACATCTCTTCTACATAGACCTCATGTCATTCACATTATGTTATGGACATTGTATTAAAGCGTTTGAAGACACAGTTGAAATAATTGTTGAGAAGGTACGGAATGAGTGTTTTACTGTAGACTGATGCATCATGACGATTATTTTCTCGGAAACACTACCATTCTGGTTCCTTGGTCCGTATGCTGCTAAAATTAGCGTGGATCGCAGTTAGTTAGCTGACGATTTCTCGCTTTCTAATCAATACTGTATGATCAAATTCAGAGAGAATTTCGCCCATTACAGATGAAGTATTGACATTTATATTCCATAGTAAGTTATCTTAACACATTTCGTTTCACACCACATGTCTCTTACACACTAATCCGAATTCGTACTTTAAACATTGTTAACGTTGATCGGATGAACTATTCAGTATACAGTGAACCTATATATATCCGATAATTTTGATGTTTGATTAAAATTCTTTGAAAATGCTTGGACCAGATTGCCAGGCGAGATGTTGGATCTACTTCAAGTTCATTCGTTGAGATTTTACAATTACATTTTTCCTTTTTAATGTCTCACACCAAATCAGTGCCCTAATACTGTGAAAGTAATTGATCAAATTTAGACAAAATTTCTTACATGGTAGGTTCAGTTCTTCGTTAATAACAATTCATAGCCGTTTCGTTCTGTGACACGTTATATGCACTTTGAAAGTATTTACAATGATAATATATCTCACTGATCACGAATATCATATCTGAAGGGGATTTACTGTTCCTACTGTCCAACAATTCAATTCTACGCTTTCAAGCTACATAATACTCTTGTGCATTTAAAATTCATTGAAATCATCACTCTTGCTGATAGGGAATCCTTATTGTCAATATACATATCATTCGAATGACTCTGTACAAAGTGAAAATAATTTGCCTTCATTTAGTGACAACCTAAACGAGTCTACATTACAATGATTTCCATGCTGGAAGATTTAAAGAGAGCAACAGTTAAATAACTAGTAGTAAACCGTGTGCATCTCACAGTTTATCATTTTTTAGCTCATGATGAAATGGTTTGTTCATTGTGAATTCTATCAACTTCCCAAGCTTATTCAATTTTAACACTGTTATTCAAAAACCAATAGTTGGTCAGCTACCGAGTGTTTGAAACCATAATCGCCGGTAACTGCAACAACATACTTAGCGAATCACATATCAAACCAATAGTCATCAACTTAAAATTACAAATCTCAAGGAGGATTTATTAAATCAATAGATGGAATTGTCTATCTGCAAAACTGCTTATGTGAGACCCCGATTTCTTACGTGTTGCACTTTCTAGTTTACTCTCGATTTAAGGATCTACAAAACCTGCTCGTTTACGTTCAAGTTCGTCCAGCAGATACTCAGTCACAGTGTTTCTTGCTGTTTCAGTCTTAGTTTACATCAAGAAAAATAATGACCATCGGTCCAAAATATACAAACTATCATTATAATTGAATCAAGTAACATATAAGTGAAGCGAATAAGTAAGTCAACTAGTAAGTAAAGGCATTAGGTGGAGTCACGTGAAGTTAATACAGGGAATTCGTTATTTCACTGGACATTGATAGACTGGCGGTGTTCTCGTTTTGTTCTATTTTGTGGATGATGTAGAGAAAAAGATACTTGTGATTAAGTTTAGTAGAAATTGACAAGAATCTCACCATTTCGAGCTATTTCGTATTGGTAATGCTGTCAAGGAATATCTGTTAACAGTTTCCGAATAAGCAGTTATACTTTAAATCTTCTGTTAGTCATTAGTTCACCAACACGAATGGAGTAGTAGTTGATCATTTTATGATGAGACAAAATGTAAAAGCAGATATATATCTACACTGAGAAGAGAAGTTCTAACGTCAATTGTTCATCCATTATGAGGTGACTACTGAATTTCTGGTCACCATTCACTCATAATTTAGATCAATCAAGTTATTGCATTCTAAACGGACAAATATATAATCCGATAAGACTAAGAAGAATTAACTTTGTTAATCTGAATTAATTGTAGTGATGTCTGATCAATGAATACGTGCTATCCAGTTAGATATAGTAGCATAAACTAATAGAATCCACTCACTTCATCCTTAATCTTTAAATCTTACCAAACCAAACACATAATCGTCACGAAACTGTCATACGTAAATCATACAGTTCACCTTAGTCTTTTCACATGAATGATATAAATAGACACACAATGGATGATTTCACTATTTGATCAAGAACAATGCCAAATTGTTTAGTGTTGCTCGTTACGGTGATATCTTGCTCCACAGTGTGGTCACTTGAAACGTTGGAAAATACAACCGAGGATCACACACATTCAAATAGCTCAGAAACACAAACAAGACTTTTGTACAGTCTGGCACCGCCAGTAAAATGCATGAGACTATTTAGCTTCTACAAAAACAGGGATTATTGGATCGATTTATGTGACAGTAATCCATCACTTTCACCATTTCTCAAGAAGTATACAAGAGCAGTTTGTTCACCACGCTCCACCAGATTCGATAACATAAATACTGGGTGATATATTCGTAAGTTTCTGCAAATAACTTCACTGATCACCTTATGAAATGTGTATATTTCAAGTTTCATGTGAGTCCTCTGTCATACAAATCCATTTGGACAGTATCTAGTCAGTGTCTCATAGGTGATAACCAGTGTTATCCGATCATTATTTGCAAGATGAATTGGACCAAATATTAAACTGAAATGTGATAATTGTCGCTCGACAAATCAGCGTTGTAAGTACATAGAATTACTCCCTACTCATTTACAAACATTTTGGAATAAGAGTGACCAACAATACGAATAGATTGAATTTCAGCATGTACACCATAGTAGTTTGACTGAGTGGTCTGGAAACTAAGCAATTCTGTGTGTGACGGAAAAGGCTAGGTCTAGTCCATCCTGTCAACACCATCAATATACAATTGTGTGTGATCAGATACTAGAAGAGGAAACCACTCTTCACTGACTCCTGTTTCAAGTAGTTGTTTATCGAAGTTTATCCGTCCATGTTCACGATGAAATTACAAAACTCCATTAACATCTTTTTGAAATGTTGATTCCAGCTGAACATAAACACTGGCAAACTCCGGCACATACATCTGTCATCTTGTATTTGTTCAAGCATTAGGATGGTAAGTTGTGATTGGAAATCGACAACATTATTAATTTGTGTATAAAATGGATATAGGATTGTAAGGTGAGAAAATATGATGATGATCGGAATACTTCATTTCGTTGAAAATTTTATTCAACATGTTTAGTTTGTGCATAATTGAGTTTAGTTAAACTACTGCAGATGTTCAATGTAAGGTGAATAATTTCAACTGGTTTGTTTTCCAAACAGTTTTACCAATATTGAAACTTCCATGTAGTCAGTCACATGTGTATTCTTATTACTGTGTACTTGTTCACAGGCAAGTGATGTTTCGTGGTCGATATATACTAGTTCAACCAGATACATGTGTTACAGTCATTCGTCGAGGTGGACTACGATCAGTTGGATCCATAATGAAGTGTTTAACATGGCCTAGAAACAGTGTTCATTCACCTTGTAATATACCACGAGAGTCAACGAGGATGTCTGATGAAAGTGGGGAAAATATTGTTGATACAGTGAATCAGGAGTGGAATTCTGGCGACGAAACACCCAATGAATTTGATCCAGGTTCACCAGAGAAAGACAGTGAAAATGTCGATATTATTACTAAGTGAAATCATTACTTGACACTTGTATTGCTGTCATGCTATCACTAATCAACAATTACATTTTAATTAACAATATCAAGACTTTTAACAATTGTATAGATTAACGCATTAGAAGTTGACACTATGAGTGACATGATTTCAATGGTATGATCTCTTCCGTTATTTTGGTAAAGTATTATCTAGTTGAAATGAATTGCGCGAGGTGAAGTGTTCTGGATGTGCATGAACAAAATGCATAATATATTTGATGGGTGTCAGAGTATGCGACTGTTCGAAACAGCCCATTATCATTAACAGTAATGTTATTATTATTATTATTGCTATCATCTATTAGGAGAAAAATGAGTTATTTATTCAAGGTTATAGAGAGAAATCTTATCTGTAGAACTTCCATATTTGTTTCTGCAATGCAATCACTAAGTAAGCAATATCACTACACAATTCGTACACTAATAAATTCATATTTGGATCTCCAAAACAATACTGTTTAGGGGAGAGTGGTCATAGTCGAATGAACACTAGGAGGGAAACAAGCTGAATTGAGAGGATTCTAAGAGATATTGTAAGATATTTCAGGAAACCTGTAGACAATAAATCAGTGATCGATAATCAAGTCGTTTCACAAATCAATCGATAAGCCATCGAAATCTGAAGTCAATTAGAATTATTCTGTTGATTAAGAAGCATGAATCACATCGATACTGATCGACTGAGAGAAACGTCAGTGTCGCTAATGAACCAGAGTTGTTGATCAAGACAATATTATATACTGGGTGACATTTTCAGTATGATAACAACAGTATACAATCAATGTGCACATCACATAACATTCTTGTACCGATTGAATGATTTGTGGATCAGTCAAGTTTAATCCAATGAATTTCGCAAAATAACAAATAAGTGTTACTCGACACCTTACTAATTCACTTCACATGTGATCCGCTCACACAAATTCTCCCACATCAAATCGGCATACTAAATTCACAACACAGATGAGCATTTTGCATCAGTTCGATCACAATCTTCCTAATTTCAGTTTGTCTAGAGAATCTTCCAATCGTATCTACCATGCTCAAACATGTTCCGTGACAAGAACACAATAATAACACAATGACACCAACAACACATTCATTAGTCATGCCAATACATGTGAACATTTCACTGGTCCTTATCAAGTCTCACTCCATGGGATCTCCTCTTCACATCACAGGGTTGTGTACATGTTCGATTCCACTGAACATTGAGAATTGGTCACCGTGCATCAAGTTCTCATCTCATTTTCATGATAAGATAATTTGACATACACAAATTAAACAAGTGTTAATCATTCGACTTGAAAATGTTGAAATTTGAAGATGGTGTAGAGTTGAAAATTATTGCTTCACAACATTGTGCGATCAAATCTAACTGAATGTGTAATGATAATATCTCATGCATAGAGAATGTGAGGCATGTGATCGGTTGACACATAGTTTCCTACAAACTAAATATTTTTCAAATCACATGATCGATATGAAAATGGCCTGAGCAATGCAACTACACGACCTACTGTGATGTGAATAATATAAACCGATTTCACTTCCACAACTAATTACATGAACAATGTCGGTCAATCTGTTCTTACTCGTCACAGTAATTTCTTATACAACTGTGTATGCAGTTGTGAGCAACCCTACAACAACTGAGATGAACAACAATACCAGTGCATCGAATTCATCATCAAGTCTACTGAATTGGGGAAATACAATCTCACGATGTGTTCGATTGTATATGGAACCAAATCAACTTGGTGATTGGTTTGATATATGTGATAGTAATGAGCTGCTCTCATCAACATGTGTTTGGAGGACAAAATCGATTTGTACACCTGGAAATACGAATCCATTCAGAAAAACATATTGGTTAATATATGAGTAGGTTTGTCCAGTTTTATATGATCCGTTGTGAGTTTTATGTTGTTAATGTACATCTACGAAGCCTTGTCCACTTATCCGTTAATTCTATTCTCATGAAGTTATGGCACGGAATTCATTGGAAACCACTGGAATTGAAGAGTTATGCTTATAGTTTGTAATTCATGATACAATCTCAACCAACTGTCATGATGATTTCCGGTGTAGAGAAACTAACGGAAAATGGGATGTGTTTGTTTCTTGTCAATATCCAAAACGACCATGGAGGGAATTTTTCCCAGTAAACTGGCACTCTGATTATAAAGTCATATCTAAATCTGGAACGGAATCAGCTGATGAAGCAGAAGCTTCCTCATTGGAAGAAATAGAAAGTTTGTTGGAACTACAGAAAAACAGTGTCAACAATAAATAATTACAAGTAAAATCTCTTCGTTTTAATTCCGTTAGTAAAATTTTGAGGTGCATGCGGATATCAGTCTACTGTGTGTGTGTGAGAGAGAGAGCTGAAATTGATGTTTGTAGTTGTTTTGAATCAATGGACGTAGGTAGTTTGAACTGAATCACGATGAATATTGACTGATGTTTATGACGGAAAACAGTTCAATATCCGTTGTTAGTGGTAGATGTTATTGGGAAAAGTGAGTGTTAAACACCAAGTTTCAAGAATACGAAAATGATGGTGTTCTGAACAATTTAACCTCCTAATTCACAAACATTTATTAAGCTGGTAGATGATCATCGAGTTGTGAAAATATAACTTGTCAGTCCACGTCGTTCCAATCAGTAAAATTTGAATGCGGTGTTGCTCAATGTTCCAACAGACAGTTGACCGAGAGAGTAGTACAGATTGTTTAGTAAGAACGTGGCATTTATCCATCTCTCTGTTGTAATTGAACATTCTGTTCTTCAGAGGTATATTTCATAGCCTACTCTTTGAAATGTCATTGTAAATAACGTACAGTTTTCATATGAATAATGAGAATGACTCTAGAAATAACTGATGGTTACTGTGAGAACTCATAGACTTTCAGCATATTAACCAAATTTGGTTTTGAGGGAACACATATGCTAGACTGAATTGCAGATTAAAAAGAAATAACTACACTTTTTTATTGATTAAGCATTGCACTTGTCTTACCATACTACTTGGTATTGTTCAGTGAAATAAATTACTATCAATCAATTTGAAACCTTCCTCTCTGATTTATTTGTTGAAATGAACTGCTCATCTTATAAATATTGTCGATTGTTCTGAAGTTTTGAACCATTCTATTGTTTGCAGTTGTATGGCTAATCTCATTTGATTGTTTAATCCCTCTGAAGTATATTACTATTCTATAGAAATTTACTCTAAACAGCTTGTTTATTTCGAATCAATGGATACTGATTCACTCTGCTAACTGCTTACATGTTTCTTAGTCTGTTAAAACAATGAGACATAAGACAGGGACAACTGGGATTTCAGGATACTTGAAAGTTTATAAGTAAATTAAGAAAGGAGTGTAAATGGATGATTTACTTACTACAATCCTTTCATTTGATCACATTGTCTGATGTCAGATATAGTTATGTCATCACTTTATCTTATTCTTAACTTGAATCGTATTGTCAGATTTTGTGTATAATTTGACTTACTAATTGACTGACTGACTCAATAAATGACTAGCTGACTGATCGTGGATAAACAACCATTGTAAGCCAGCAAACATTGCATAGCTGTTTTTCTTAGTGAATTTTATATAGGACAATGTGCAGTGAACTAGCATAACGTCAGGGGTTATTCTATGGAGAGCACTGGACCTCAAAGCCCATCTGTGATCAAACTGTCTACATTACACCTCAATTAATGTCCACTCAGACTTTGGTTTATGATTACTTATCACTGTCCATAAGTATGTTTCCAATAACTGGATGAGAACAGGAGAGAGATTTTGATATCTCAGTGTTTGGAATTAGCATAGAATAATATTCTCCCTTGTAAAATGATAACCAGATATTTGGAGTGAAAGCGAATTGGTGACACTGAATAAATAGAAATGACCTATGCCAGTCAACGCTGTGATGGTAAAAGTTTCTCTGTGATTGTGGTTTCAATGATGGAATTCGTGCAACAACTATATCGATGCCTAATTACCACTAACTATTTCGTTATGATACACCAAAATGTGCTTGTGTACAGTTATGTGGATATGAAATATGGGACTGTGTATGAGTGATTTTCTGTGGTTGACTCGGTTACAGTATACATTGCATGACGTACTTCTCATGAATGATGTGTTTTGTTACTGGTAAGCAATATTAGGCTAATTTGATTGTAATGCATGACCGATGCGGATCAAGAAACAACTTTATAGCCAGCATGCAAATATCCAACTAATAACATCATTCTCCTCTTCATCCTTGCTAATTTCAATAAACAAAGCGTGATAGATTTGTTGAGAAGCGTTAGATTAGTGAGATATTGATTCATGTGCCATTGTGGATGCTAAGCTGTTATAAGAGTACTCAATGAACTGCTGGTTGGAGTATTGTTTAACTGTAATGTTCACTAGCGAAATAAACCAATGTGAAGAGATTATTTTGACACATGTGTGAGAGAATTCGTACTCTGAAGAACAAATATTTCAGTACTGATGATGATTAGTTTTCATTCAGCTACCTAGTGGTAACAAAATAGTATAGACCAAATATTTGGAAGGCATTTTGTAGTACATGTTTTGCTGAACAGACCAAACAAAGATTCAAGTCAAAGTGACATGGAGCCTTACGGCTAAACTTCTCCATTACATTCAAGATAAAATAAATAACGAGAAATCAGTGAAAGTTATACTACCTTGTAGTTTACTGTATTTTACATAATAAATTACGCATCTATATTTGATATTTTCTGGTTGACTGGAATGAGCCAACTGTTGTCTTGAGTCATTGAAATTCAATATTTCCATCGTGACCTCAACACTACCTTCTTGATCCTGATTGGCTTAGCACTATCACTAAATTTCAGCGTATATTCAGAAGGGTGGGAATGAAGAGTAGAAACAATCCGATCAGGTTTATATTGCTATTTGATCATTAAAGTTTATTGTTGAAATAAGCACGTTAACTACAGTATTCCACTTTCTGAACGTTTCCAAAATGTTTTCAGAACATACATGTAAATAGGGAAGTTCGACTGGTTGTTTAATAATGTATGTCACGTAATTTAAAGATAAACTTCAGAATGCTTTATTCAGCTGACAACTGTGTGAACATAACAAGTCTATTAAATTCAAATTCATTTTACTCATTTGAAGCTGGTATTTAGATAGCTGATACTTTAAGTAATGGACTGAGTCATACAAACTGGTGTGACGGTCCTTACTGAAACAGGCAGTCACAGCTATTTAAAGGTATCTGAACTGTGTCGAGATGCTCACGAGTCGTATTAGGGACATTGAACTGAGCAAGTTCCAATAAATATGTTTCGAGATTTGTGTTTGATCACCAAGTGATTGTGTATAATAGCTATTTTGTAGATCCATTGAAAACCTATACAAATTCATTATTCATATGAAAACTGTACGTTATTTACAATGACATTTCAAATGGTAGGTCATGATAAATTCCTCTGAAGAACAGAATGTTCACTTACAACAGAGAGATGGATAAATGCCACGTTCTTACTAAACAATCTGTACTACTCTCTCGGTCAACTGTCTGTTGGAACATTGAGCAACACCGCATTCAAATTTTACTGATTGGAACGACGTGGACTGACAAGTTATATTTTCACAACTCGATGATCATCTACCAGCTTAATTAATGTTTGTGAATTAGGAGGTTAAATTGTTCAGAACACCATCATTTTCGTATTCTTGAAACTTGGTGTTTAACACTCACTTTTCCCAATAACATCTACCACTAACAACGGATATTGAACTGTTTTCCGTCATAAACATCAGTCAATATTCATCGTGATTCAGTTCAAACTACCTACGTCCATTGATTCAAAACAACTACAAACATCAATTTCAGCTCTCTCTCTCACACACACACAGTAGACTGATATCCGCGTGCACCTCAAAATTTTACTAACGGAATTAAAACGAAGAGATTTTACTTGTAATTATTTATTGTTGACACTGTTTTTCTGTAGTTCCAACAAACTTTCTATTTCTTCCAATGAGGAAGCTTCTGCTTCATCAGCTGATTCCGTTCCAGATTTAGATATGACTTTATAATCAGAGTGCCAGTTTACTGGGAAAAATTCCCTCCATGGTCGTTTTGGATATTGACAAGAAACAAACACATCCCATTTTGCCGTTAGTTTCTCTACACAGATGAGTATTGACATAGTTGCCGAAAGTTTATACTGATTTATGTCGTCAATACATTTACTGGAACCGAGTAGTATGTAAGGTCCTGCGAAATGAGATCGTCTAAATAAATATGGATAAAATCGTGCAAAATCAGATATGAAAATCGTAAATTAATCATGATGATAATTACTTCAATTTATTTATAGATGTGAAAGTATCACAGTTCTGTGAAATGTATTTGCTCTAGAACTACTCTAGACATTATTTATTCATTCAACGGATGCTGCTTAAGTGTGGATCAACTAAACCACAATTTGCGAGTCATCATTTGATCACAGATAAACACATAACTTGTACTGCTGAAAACACTATGTGTTTACATTACCAACGAAGACAACGAAGGTGTACAAAATTAACTGATATTCTGACTGATATTATCTCATTTTATATTCATATTTTCATATCTGATGATCTTTGGTAAGAGACAATGGAAGCATCAGATAATCAGGCAAATTACCTACCTATAATCCGAAGATATTTTCAAAACAAAGCAAACACTCTTTCCGTTCGTCATGTAATCGGAATATCTAAAGCAAGTCGACCAACTACATTTCGTGAATCAACTGATAACATTGATTCGAACGACGAAATGCAGCACCACACATACACACACTCACACACACTGGTTTACAACGCTTCATCATCACTGAATGAAATTATTTTCGTGTCTCCAGTTGATTAATCTCTCGTAGTTATATACAACAAAATGAATGGTGATCTTCATTTTTGTTAGTTTACGGAAATTCACCAAACAGTATGTTGTCTATATACCAATACAAGATGCACCACATAGAGAACCGGAAATCATCATGACAGTTGGTTGGGATTGTATCATGAATTACAAACTATAAGCATAACTCTTCAATTCCAGTGGTTTCCAATGAATTCCGTGCCATAACTTCATGAGAATAGAATTAACGGATAAGTGGACAAGGCTTCGTAGATGTACATTAACAACATAAAACTCACAACGGATCATATAAAACTGGACAAACCTACTCATATATTAACCAATATGTTTTTCTGAATGGATTCGTATTTCCAGGTGTACAAATCGATTTTGTCCTCCAAACACATGTTGATGAGAGCAGCTCATTACTATCACATATATCAAACCAATCACCAAGTTGATTTGGTTCCATATACAATCGAACACATCGTGAGATTGTATTTCCCCAATTCAGTAGACTTGATGATGAATTCGATGCACTGGTATTGTTGTTCATCTCAGTTGTTGTAGGGTTGCTCACAACTGCATACACAGTTGTATAAGAAATTACTGTGACGAGTAAGAACAGATTGACCGACATTGTTCATGTAATTAGTTGTGGAAATGAAATCGGTTTATATTATTCACATCACAGTAGGTCGAGTAGTTGCATTATATATAGTATTTTATATAGGTCATATCATGGTAATGTGAATTAATTTTATCGACATCCAATTAAAGAATACGTGCTATCTAGTTAGATATAGTAGCATAAACTAATAGAATCCACTCGCGAATAACCTTATTCTTTAAGTCTTATCGAACAATAACCACACGCACAAATTTACATACAGATCATTTATGAATCAATTTGACCGGAATGACATGACATTAACTTGTTCAGACCTGTTTTGAATTGATCAAGTATTATTCTTATTGTTGCTTTGTACATTTTATACTTGTAGGAATTTTAATTAGTGTATTTATTCTCTGAACAAGTGACTTACACTAAGTGACGAAACGTCAGAAAAATCAAATTTTCTACTCATTGGGATATTACAAACATATCGTTTATTTAGAAACCCATAATCGTCACGAAACTGTCATACGTAAATCATACAGTTCACCTTAGTCTTTTCACATGAATGATATAAATAGACACACAATGGATGATTTCACTATTTGATCAAGAACAATGCCAAATTGTTTAGTGTTGCTCGTTACGGTGATATCTTGCTCCACAGTGTGGTCACTTGAAACGTTGGAAAATACAACCGAGGATCACACACATTCAAATAGCTCAGAAACACAAACAAGACTTTTGTACAGTCTGGCACCGCCAGTAAAATGCATGAGACTATTTAGCTTCTACAAAAACAGGGATTATTGGATCGATTTATGTGACAGTAATCCATCACTTTCACCATTTCTCAAGAAGTATACAAGAGCAGTTTGTTCACCACGCTCCACCAGATTCGATAACATTAAATACTGGGTGATATATTCGTAAGTTTCTGCAAATAACTTCACTGATCACCTTATGAAATGTGTATATTTCAAGTTTCATGTGAGTCCTCTGTCATACAAATCCATTTGGACAGTATCTAGTCAGTGTCTCATAGGTGATAACCAGTGTTATCCGATCATTATTTGCAAGATGAATTGGACCAAATATTAAACTGAAATGTGATAATTGTCGCTCGACAAATCGGCGTTGTAAGTACATAGAATTACTCCCTACTCATTTCCAAACATTTTGGAATAAGAGTGACCAGCAATAGGAATAGATTGAATTTCAGCATGTACACCATAGTAGTTTGACTGAGTGGTCTGGAAACTAAGCAATTCTGTGTGTGACGGAAAAGGCTAGGTCTAGTCCATCCTGTCAACACCATCAATATACAATTGTGTGTGATCAGATACTAGAAGAGGAAACCACTCTTCACTGACTCCTGTTTCAAGTAGTTGTTTATCGAAGTTTATTCGTCCATGTTCACGATGAAATTACAAAATTCCATTAACATCTTTTTGAAGTGTTGATTCCAGCTGAACATCAACACTGGCAAACTCCGGCACATACATCTGTCATCTTGTATTTGTTCAAGCATTAGGATGGTAAGTTGTGATTGGAAATCGACAACATTATTAATTTGTGTATAAAATGGATATAGGATTGTAAGGTGAGAAAATATGATGATGATCGGAATACTTCATTTCGTTGAAAATTTTATTCAACATGTTTAGTTTGTGCATAATTGAGTTTAGTTAAACTACTGCAGATGTTCAATGTAAGGTGAATAATTTCAACTGGTTTGTTTTCCAAACAGTTTTACCAATATTGAAACTTCCATGTAGTCAGTCACATGTGTATTCTTATTACTGTGTACTTGTTCACAGGCAAGTGATGTTTCGTGGTCGATATATACTAGTTCAACCAGATACATGTGTTACAGTCATTCGTCGAGGTGGACTACGATCAGTTGGATCCATAATGAAGTGTTTAACATGGCCTAGAAACAGTGTTCATTCACCTTGTAATATACCACGAGAGTCAACGAGGATGTCTGATGAAAGTGGGGAAAATATTGTTGATACAGTGAATCAGGAGTGGAATTCTGGCGACGAAACACCCAATGAATTTGATCCAGGTTCACCAGAGAAAGACAGTGAAAATGTCGATATTATTACTAAGTGAAATCATTACTTGACACTTGTATTGCTGTCATGCTATCACTAATCAACAATTACATTTTAATTAACAATATCAAGACTTTTAACAATTGTATAGATTAACGCATTAGAAGTTGACACTATGAGTGACATGATTTCAATGGTATGATCTCTTCCGTTATTTTGGTAAAGTATTATCTAGTTGAAATGAATTGCGCGAGGTGAAGTGTTCTGGATGTGCATGAACAAAATGCATAATATATTTGATGGGTGTCAGAGTATGCGACTGTTCGAAACAGCCCATTATCATTAACAGTAATGTTATTATTATTATTATTGCTATCATCTATTAGGAGAAAAATGAGTTATTTATTCAAGGTTATAGAGAGAAATCTTATCTGTAGAACTTCCATATTTGTTTCTGCAATGCAATCACTAAGTAAGCAATATCACTACACAATTCGTACACTAATAAATTCATATTTGGATCTCCAAAACAATACTGTTTAGGGGAGAGTGGTCATAGTCGAATGAACACTAGGAGGGAAACAAGCTGAATTGAGAGGATTCTAAGAGATATTGTAAGATATTTCAGGAAACCTGTAGACAATAAATCAGTGATCGATAATCAAGTCGTTTCACAAATCAATCGATAAGCCATCGAAATCTGAAGTCAATTAGAATTATTCTGTTGATTAAGAAGCATGAATCACATCGATACTGATCGACTGAGAGAAACGTCAGTGTCGCTAATGAACCAGAGTTGTTGATCAAGACAATATTATATACTGGGTGACATTTTCAGTATGATAACAACAGTATACAATCAATGTGCACATCACATAACATTCTTGTACCGATTGAATGATTTGTGGATCAGTCAAGTTTAATCCAATGAATTTCGCAAAATAACAAATAAGTGTTACTCGACACCTTACTAATTCACTTCACATGTGATCCGCTCACACAAATTCTCCCACATCAAATCGGCATACTAAATTCACAACACAGATGAGCATTTTGCATCAGTTCGATCACAATCTTCCTAATTTCAGTTTGTCTAGAGAATCTTCCAATCGTATCTACCATGCTCAAACATGTTCCGTGACAAGAACACAATAATAACACAATGACACCAACAACACATTCATTAGTCATGCCAATACATGTGAACATTTCACTGGTCCTTATCAAGTCTCACTCCATGGGATTCCTCTTCACATCACAGGGTTGTGTACATGTTCGATTCCACTGAACATTGAGAATTGGTCACCGTGCATCAAGTTCTCATCTCATTTTCATGATAAGATAATTTGACATACACAAATTAAACAAGTGTTAATCATTCGACTTGAAAATGTTGAAATTTGAAGATGGTGTAGAGTTGAAAATTATTGCTTCACAACATTGTGCGATCAAATCTAACTGAATGTGTAATGATAATATCTCATGCATAGAGAATGTGAGGCATGTGATCGGTTGACACATAGTTTCCTACAAACTAAATATTTTTCAAATCACATGATCGATATGAAAATGGCCTGAGCAATGCAACTACACGACCTACTGTGATGTGAATAATATAAACCGATTTCACTTCCACAACTAATTACATGAACAATGTCGGTCAATCTGTTCTTACTCGTCACAGTAATTTCTTATACAACTGTGTATGCAGTTGTGAGCAACCCTACAACAACTGAGATGAACAACAATACCAGTGCATCGAATTCATCATCAAGTCTACTGAATTGGGGAAATACAATCTCACGATGTGTTCGATTGTATATGGAACCAAATCAACTTGGTGATTGGTTTGATATATGTGATAGTAATGAGCTATTCCTATGTATTCGATGTTTCCATTGAGGTTTTGTAAATCAGGATTTTTGTTTGGTTTCATGTACAATATAATCAAGTGACTAGTATGTAGTGACTCACATTTATCACGAGAAAACGATTGGTTTATTGAAAACAATTATTATTATAACCAATTGTACCAGTGACTTTTAATGTGCTTTTGTTTAACTGTGCTAAAACATCGATTATACTTACACTTCGATTGTGACCTCGCGCGAATTCGGTTACGTTCTGTAACCAAGCTACTGATGTCGACAGATATAAATAGTATGTATCACCAACTGAAAGTAAAATATCTGGAGTTAGAAGGTTAAGGTGATCGAATAGAAGAGAATGAGAAAAAAGCATTCTACTCCGATTTCTTTGTTGAAATGAACTGCTCATCTTATAAATATTGTCGATTTTTCTAAAGTTTCGAACCACTCTATTGTTTGCAGTTGTATCGCCTATCTCATTTGTTTGTTTAATCCCTTTGCAGTATCTTACTACTCTGTAGAAATTTACTCTAAACAGCTTGTTTATTTCCAATCGATGGATACTGATTCACTCTGTTAAATGCTTACATGCTTATTAGTCTATTGAAACAGTGCGACAGAAGACAGGAAAACAGGAACGTCAGGACACTTGAATCTTTATTAGTGAATTAGGAAGGGAGTTTTCATGGATGATTTACTTACTACAATCCTTTCATTTGATCACATTATCTGATGTCAGATATAGTTATGTCATCACTTTATCTTATTCTTAACTTGAATCGTATTGTCAGATTTTGTGTATAATTTGACTTACTAATTGACTGACTGACTCAATAAATGACTAGCTGACTGATCGTGGATAAACAACCATTGTAAGCCAGCAAACATTGCATAGCTGTTTTTCTTAGTGAATTTTATATAGGACAATGTGCAGTGAACTAGCATAACGTCAGGGGTTATTCTATGGAGAGCACTGGACCTCAAAGCCCATCTGTGATCAAACTGTCTACATTACACCTCAATTAATGTCCACTCAGACTTTGGTTTATGATTACTTATCACTGTCCATAAGTATGTTTGATATATGTGATAGTAATGAGCTATTCCTATGTATTCGATGTTTCCATGTCAATATTTGCACAGCTTTCCATACAACTAGGCTGAAAGAAATCCTTACACACAGTAATTTCCTATGTGAATTCATTGATGTAATCGATCGGAAATGTGTCTTCCATTTCACACATACTATTCTATGCTCATTACAGCTGAATGAAAATGCCTCAAGTTTAATACACTAAAAACATTATTCAATCCGGTTTACCGAAAATGCTCAAAACAATGCATTGAGTGCATCAAATGACTGAAATTTCATTCATCACATAATATTCCATGTTGTCGAGTGGAACATCACTGTTTTACTTCCACTCAGCTCCCTTATTCGTGTGTGAAATTTCCAGTGGTTAATTGAATTGATAACAAATAATATTAACATCGTCTGATGCAGTGAAGTGACTACTTAGTCAATCCTTCAAGAATAACCTCAGTAGACTATGAGACTCAGTGTAGCAAATCAAGTCAATCAAAAGACACTTTCCTAATGAAGTTCACCAACTCATGTTTACTACTGATTCAGTTTACATTGTTATTGTGTACTGTAAAAGTCAACTGGAATCAACACTTCAAAAAGATGTTAATGGAATTTTGTAATTTCATCGTGAACATGGACGAATAAACTTCGATAAACAACTACTTGAAACAGGAGTCAGTGAAGAGTGGTTTCCTCTTCTAGTATCTGATCACACACAATTGTATATTGATGGTGTTGACAGGATGGACTAGACCTAGCCTTTTCCGTCACACACAGAATTGCTTAGTTTCCAGACCACTCAGTCAAACTACTATGGTGTACATGCTGAAATTCAATCTATTCGTATTGTTGGTCACTCTTATTCCAAAATGTTTGTAAAGGAGTAGGGAGTAATTCTATGTACTTACAACGCCGATTTGTCGAGCGACAATTATCACATTTCAGTTTAATATTTGGTCCAATTCATCTTGCAAATAATGATCGGATAACACTGGTTATCACCTATGAGACACTGACTAGATACTGTCCAAATGGATTTGTATGACAGAGGACTCACATGAAACTTGAAATATACACATTTCATAAGGTGATCAGTGAAGTTATTTGCAGAAACTTACGAATATATCACCCAGTATTTAATGTTATCGAATCTGGTGGAGCGTGGTGAACAAACTGCTCTTGTATACTTCTTGAGAAATGGTGAAAGTGATGGATTACTGTCACATAAATCGATCCAATAATCCCTGTTTTTGTAGAAGCTAAATAGTCTCATGCATTTTACTGGCGGTGCCAGACTGTACAAAAGTCTTGTTTGTGTTTCTGAGCTATTTGAATGTGTGTGATCCTCGGTTGTATTTTCCAACGTTTCAAGTGACCACACTGTGGAGCAAGATATCACCGTAACGAGCAACACTAAACAATTTGGCATTGTTCTTGATCAAATAGTGAAATCATCCATTGTGTGTCTATTTATATCATTCATGTGAAAAGACTAAGGTGAACTGTATGATTTACGTATGACAGTTTCGTGACGATTATGGGTTTCTAAATAAACGATATGTTTGTAATATCCCAATGAGTAGAAAATTTGATTTTTCTGACGTTTCGTCACTTAGTGTAAGTCACTTGTTCAGAGAATAAATACACTAATTAAAATTCCTACAAGTATAAAATGTACAAAGCAACAATAAGAATAATACTTGATCAATTCAAAACAGGTCTGAACAAGTTAATGTCATGTCATTCCGGTCAAATTGATTCATAAATGATCTGTATGTAAATTTGTGCGTGTGGTTATTGTTCGATAAGACTTAAAGAATAAGGTTATTCGCGAGTGGATTCTATTAGTTTATGCTACTATATCTAACTAGATAGCACGTATTCTTTAATTGGATGTCGATAAAATTAATTCACATTACCATGATATGACCTATATAAAATACTATATATAATGCAACTACTCGACCTACTGTGATGTGAATAATATAAACCGATTTCACTTCCACAACTAATTACATGAACAATGTCGGTCAATCTGTTCTTCCTCGTCACAGTAATTTCTTATACAACTGTGTATGCAGTTGTGAGCAACCCTACAACAAC